ATGGTATGTTGAATTGCTGCAATTCACTACTGCATACAGCTTCATGATGAACAGTAACACTGTAAAAAGAAGAAGAGAGGAAAATTGAACAAAAAGTGATACTACATGGATTTAAGTTCAAAACATTTGTCTTGACTGCACTAGCATAATTTTTGCATGCATAAAACCCTACCCCACCACCATGTATCCTAGTATTCTGATTCCTACTACGAAAACCACACTAAATATTTACTAAAATTATTGGTGCACTCACTACATGTGCTATTCATTCATGGTTATTATAATCGTTAATTCGTCGTGAGGATTGCGGTTAGAAAGCTTTATGTACTTGCGGTGACACGAGACAAAGACGTGCCACGCATATCGGCCTGTTGTGCAGACAAAAGCCAATGCTATTTATCGAAATTTTTTACTGTCCAAAACATATGCCAGTAAACGATTCCACACTATTTTACCCATATAACCACTCTAAAAATAAAATAGATGTTCCAAAACTCATTTATCGAGATTGGTCAGGAAAATTGAGCAGAAAACGTGAAGACAGAAGGCGTGCAGCATGGGGGAGGGGGGTATGCAGGCGGTAACGCTAGCTTGCATATCGTCAAAAAAACCTACCGTAAATCCCCTTGAAGAGAATATTTTTGGCAAACTAGGTCCAGAACATCGTTGGAACTCAGCCCAAGGCGGGTCGCCACCGGTAACGCCGTGTGTAAGCTGGAAATTCAGACATGATGGTGCTTGGCACAAGAGCGTCCGCGGTTCTGTTTATCTCTCTGTTTATCTCCAATTTCTGGATCGAACGTCAAATTCCGCGCAGGCGCACTAGTAATTGCGAAAGGGCTTATTGAGAGGATGGTCCTGTCAATAACAGAAAAATATAATATCATCAGGTCCTGTCAATGGTGCATTTGTTCTGTTATTAATAATCAATAGTGCATTTTTCTGATATTGACAGGATCAAATTTTCCCACTATTGACAGGATGGTCCTGTCAATAGCCTTATGCAACACACAGCTGCAGCTGACCGATGATGATGATAAATGTTATACAAAACAAATACATCCAACATTACCCTACCTGGTTTTCGAACTTAAGGGACTGGGTACCAACCAGGAAGCGGATAGCGTCTGTTTCTGCCACCTGAGGTGTCAGGGCACGCGCCTGTAGTAGGATGAAAACAACCATACTTTATCATCTTTGAAATGTATTCAATTATTATTGTAATTTGTATGTCACATCCTGATATAATTTTCAATCTCTATTCATTCTGTAAATGCTATTTGTGGAGGTATAAGCTTCAACTTCAAGCTTTGATGAAGGGTTTAGGTAGCTAGCTTTAGTAGTGCGAAAAAAATGGGGATTATAAAGGTCATAAACCTATGATATTATTGAGATATCTCGCTAGACTGTGAACTGATCTGTTAGTCTCGTCTGCTTCA